TTAAATGTTTAAATATTAATTGAAAATTATAATGGTTATATTAGAAGTGAAAAATATCTAGACCTTTAGTTTGGTTTGCGGGAAAAATGGTCAACTTCAACCCGAACAAAGTGCAAAGTGCGTTTTTAATTTTTTATACCTCAACAAAGTTAAAGTGTTTTTTTCAACCTCAACACTAAAATAATTCAAATAAACTACTCGGACTATTTGATTTGAGCGTATAACTACATTGACTTAAACAAAATTAGTCAAACGTTTTCTTTCGCTCATTTAGACAATACGATGGTGACGGAATATCATTTTATCTTAAACCAAATAATGTCGTTTTGGTCATTTGAGTCTATAAACTCAACCGATAAATGTCGTTTTGGTCATTTGAATCCATAAACTTAACAAAACGACGTTGTTTGGTTAAGATAAAATGACACTCGTAAAGACAAAATGACACTTCGTTGTCACCATGTTAAGTTTATGGATTCAAATTAATGACAAAAAAAATGTTATACTACTTCGTTACTATCGTGTTGTCTAAATCTACGAAAACAAACAATTGACAAAAATTTTTTTAAGTCAATATAGTTTTACGCTCAAATATCATAATCTGGGTAATTTATTTGAATTATTTTAGTGTTAAAATTGAAAAAGGTACTGTAACTTTGTTGAAATATATAAACAAATTTTACAATTTGTTTGGGTTGATATTCACCATTTTCCCTTAATTTGTGCTTGACTAATGTTTGTGTGATTCCGAATCTGTAAACGGACCAATCCTTAGTTTTTGGTTGATTTATTTCAATATAAAAAGTAAAATTGATTATCCTAGGAAAAACTACAAAATCTACCACTTATTCCCAATTTCTTTCAAAATCTACCACATTCTTTCTCTTCTTTCAATTCATACCACATTTTGATGTAAAGTTACCATTTTGCCATCCCTTTTTATCTTCCCTTTTATCTTTCTTCCTTATTTATTTATCTTCTCTATTTATCTCTCCTCCCTATTTATCTTCCCTACAAGGCTACAACCTTAGCTTCCCTATTTATCTCTCTCTCCCTTCAAACACATGCACTTTAACTAAGAAACATTATATCTCCTGAGACTAAACAATTAACTTTTGTTTTTGTCTCCAGATCTTGTCTCCGATTGGGAATTCTTTGTTGCGTCTAGATCTTGTCCCCGATTTCATCATCTTGCTCTATTATCGTGAACTCCACATCTTGTCCACCAATTGTTCTCATTTAAGGGTTTTGAATTTTATTTAGATTTTTCACCATCTATTTTGGTCCACAGATTAGTTGAGCATTATTGTCTTCACCTACCCGGATTATTGAATTTTTTTTTCTTTCTATTGCAAAATAACAAAAAGATCCAGTTGTCCCCGAGTACTATTACTCATTCGATATGAACTTGTCCCCGATCTAATTCTATTACTCATTCGATCTGAACTTGTCCCAGATTTAATTCTATTACTCATTCGATCTGAACTTGTCTCCGATCTAATTCTATTACCCATTCGATCTGAACTTGTCCTCGATCTATATCTATTACCCATTCGATCTGAATTTGTCCTTGATCTAATTTTCTTACTCATTCGATCTGAACTTGTCCCCGATATAACATATTCGATCTGATTCTCTTACTCATTCGATCTGAACTTGTCTCCGATCTAATTCTATTACCCATTCCATCTGAATTCGATATGAACTTGTCCCCGATCTAATTCTATTACTCATTCGATATGAACTTGTCCCCGATCTAATTCTATTACACATTCGATCTGAACTTGTCCTCGATCTAATTATATCACCCATTCGATCTGAATTTGTCCCTGATCTAATTATATTACTCATTCGATCTGAATCTGTCTGTGATATAACATATTATATAAATAACCATGCAACATTTATTGTAGACTTGCTCCTTCTTTGGAAGCACCAGACGAAACTGTCTCTGTCTCTGACACAGACTATGTCCCTGACACAGACTCTGTCCCATTCAGGGGTATTTTGGTCCAGCATTCTGCATGTGCTATTGGAATATGGTAGATTTTGAAAGATTTTTGAGATTATGGTAGATTTTGAATGCCACTTGTTGAAATGTGGTAGATTTTGCAATATTCCCATTATCCTACCAAAAAAAAAAGTAAAATTGATTAAAAAAAAAGATTAATATAGACCTAAACCGTAACTCCGAAGAAGGAAAATGAAGTGGTAAAAATAAAATAAAAAAGAAAATGAAGTGGTTAAAGTTAGACCAATATAAATTGGATCACCGGTCGAACCGGTAATTCCGGTTCGGTTTGAATAGTAAATTTTTGGCCTTTTAGACAAGGGTTTATGACGAAAAGCTCAGTGGCTTTTTGTTGCTCTACCTTGCTTGCTCTGTCATTTTGGTTGGATCTTCGTCTTCTCTCGTATGATTCTCATTATCTCCTCCTGAATATTATCTTCTTCTTCAGCTTAATCTTGACTCTTTTGTTTCTTCTAATGGTTATAGATGGATAGTGACATTGTTTCCAGTAGCGTTGATCAATCTCGGACAGCAATGCCTGGTAAAGTTTCCCCCTTTTAAATCTACCACTCTATTATCGATTTGTTAGAAAGGTGGGATCTTTATGCTTTTGTTGTTCCATTTGAAGACATTGATGTTTTGAATTATTTGTATCCAATAAAGGATTGAACTTGATACCTTCTTCTCTAAAGCAAATCAATTTTATAGCAATCAAGATTTAGATTTTTTTATTGAGTGGTTATGTTTATGTTACTTGTAGATTCATTGGCATTTAAGAGTATCAATGATCCTATCAAGAACAAGATCAATGGTTGTGCTGCAATCTGTGTTAAACAAGATGATCCATGCCATTTCTTGCGTGTCCTTTATGGTAATGGTTGCAAACACATCTTCATGTGCTTTTGTTATTGAAAGATCCAATTTTTTTCTCTTTCAAGTTCATTAGATGTTGTTTGCAGAGTCTCTGATAACAGGAGGGTTGGCTGGTGTTGTGGTGGAAGCTGCTCTATACCCGATTGATACGATCAAAACTCGAGTACAGGTTGTTTCTCCTCAAACCAATTTGTGTTATGATCCAATATAAGCTCTTTTTTACTGCAGTTTAATTTCAGAGAGATTCCCACTATGACCAATGCTTCACTTACAACGGCTAATTATAGTGGTTTGACATGTTTAGGTAGCTCGGGATGGTGGAAAGATAATATGGAAGGGACTATACTCTGGTCTTGGTGGAAATCTTGTCGGTGTCTTACCGTAAGTATGCAGTCAGAATGAAAGAAAGAAAATATATGCATACACATTAAGTAATTGCGACTCTTTGTTTCAGATGAACAATGTTTTCTTACATGTGCAGTGCTTCGGCTCTATTTTTTGGTGTATATGAACCAACCAAACAGAAGCTGTTGAAGGTTTTGCCTGAGAATCTTAGTGCGGTTGCACATTTGGTATGTTTTCTCTTTAAACAATCCTGAAATCTAATTTAAGCGTTAGAGAGAAGATGAATGTCTTCGTGAGCTGTATACATTAGTCTTGCTACCATTTTGTTTTAAAAATTACTGATTTGAGACAGAGGCCCTTAGAATCTAGTGATGCTCAGTTAAAATAGGATATGTCTGAGCAAGATATATAAGCTTAATCAGGCTGCAGGTGCTTTAGGAGGTGCTGTTTCATCTATTGTTCGAGTACCTACAGAAGTAAGTCTCTTCCTCCATTTTTATTTGTTTATTCTTTTGTGTTGGCTGTGCACTTGAAAAGGCTAATGGAAACTTCAACAGGTTGTCAAACAGCGGATGCAAACTGGTCAATTTGCTTCGGCCCCTGATGCTGTTCGCCTTATTATAGCCAAGGAGGGCTTTGGAGGCATGTATGCGGTATATCTGTTATATCTGTTATTTTGAGCAGGCAGTACTTGAGTTTGTAGTTCAATTAATCACATCGCTTAAGATTGGCGAACAAGAAAAGCTCCATCAAATTGTTTCATCTTATTTTTCCAAACACGCAGGGTTATGGATCTTTCCTGTTGCGAGATTTGCCTTTTGATGCTCTCCAGTTTTGTGTATATGAACAATTACGGATTGGATACAAGTTGGCTGTAAGTTTTTGTTGCTACAATGATAAGTAAAAGAACATTCGCTTTTGCAGACTAGTGACAGTGAGATATCCATATTGTTTAGAACAGGCGAGAAGAGATCTAAATGATCCAGAGAATGCAATGATTGGCGCCTTTGCTGGTGCTGTCACTGGAGTTTTGACCACTCCTCTAGACGTTATCAAAACCAGATTGATGGTTCAGGTATGTCAAAACGATGAGTACACAAAATACTGAAAGAGAATGTTCTTCTTGGATTCATTTCACAGGAGAATGAGAAGCTCCAGTAATATAGTACCGACTTTTTCGTTTTGAATTTTGGCAGGGCGCAGGAACTCAGTATAAAGGAGTCTCAGATTGCATTAAGACGATAATAAGAGAAGAAGGGTCATCAGCTTTGTGGAAGGTGAACCAAATTTCTGCTCTTACCATAATATTTTAGGAATACACAGTTTCTCATGTTTGTACAAAGTTGTTGACAGACTTGAGACACTGTATTACAGGGAATGGGTCCAAGGGTATTATGGATAGGTATTGGAGGTTCAATTTTCTTTGGTGTATTGGAAAAGACAAAGCAGATTCTTTCAGAAAGAAGCCAAAAGAGTCACAATGCTTAAACAGTTAGATTCTAGTTGTGTCTACATCATTCTTGTCTCTTGATGTTTTGGTGAAGATGAAGTATTTAGATTCTATACGTATCTTTGCTTGATTCTAATTTTTATTCCTAGAAAAATTGTCATCCTCTTTTGTTCAATCATCTTCCACTTTTGAATCTATTACTAGAAACTTCAACTTTATGTGGACGTTCTAAGGTTGCGTAATAAACTATGTCATCTGTCATTATCAAAGTCTTAATCTCTCAATATCTTAAATTTTTTTTTTTGAATCCTTTGTAATTGATCCCCACCTTTTTTACTTACTAGTATGGAATCTCTAGTTATATAAGAGCACAGAAAAAGTTGAAGCTTAATTTTTTGCAGGTTTTAAGTAAAGACGATGCAGATGAAGCTACTTCTTACAGTGTCAATTATCTTGAATCTCGTATTCACCGTTCATATTCTTTATTATAGTTCAACTACATGGAATCCGACGTGGACCACTAGAGCTGCCGCGGAAGCAGAAACTGTAGCCTCTTTTTCATGCTCAGGCCACGGCAGAGCTTTTGTGGATGGTCTTGGTGTCCTTGATGGCCAGAAACCTTCTTGTGAGTGCAACAATTGCTACACAGGAAAAGATTGCTCTGTTCTTCTCAAAGATTGTCCTGTCGATGCTAACTCGTATGCAAACAACTTTTCATCTTGATCATTATGACCAAACCAAATCTGTAAACTTTGGAATAAAAATGTTATTGTTGTTTTGTGGATTTTGAAGAGGAGACCCTTTGTTCTTGGAGCCTTTCTGGATGCGACAAGCAGAGAGCAGCGCGGTTTTGGTCTCGGGATGGCACAGGATGAGTTATATTTATCAAGATGGGACATATGTGTCTCGAGAGCTCGAGAAGGTCATTAGGAAACTGCATAGTGTTGTGGGAAACGCTGTTACAGATAACAGATTCGTAATCTTTGGATCTGGAACCACACAATTGCTGGCAGCAGCTGTTCATGTCCTGTCTTTGACAAACTCATCAATATCATCACCTGCAAGGCTTTTGACTTCTATTCCATACTACTCTGTAAGTAAGCCGGCCTTGACCTGGCCTCTTCTGATTAGTTAAAATTTTCGAATGTTTGTGTCTTATCAGCCTGTGTATGTAGATGTACAAGGACCAAGCGGAGTTCTTTGATTCAGCACATCTCAAGTTTGAAGGAGATGTGTCTGCGTGGAAGCAGAGCGGACGCAATGATAATATCACACAAGTTATAGAGGTAGTAACATCTCCGAATAATCCAGATGGGAAATTGAAAAGAGCGGTTTTAGATGGTCCTAATGTGAAAATAGTGCATGATTATGCTTATTACTGGCCTTATTTCACACCTATTACACATCCAGTTGATGAAAATTTGAGCTTGTTCAGTCTCTCAAAGGCTACAGGTCATGCTGGCTCAAGATTCGGGTGATTGATTTAAGTTTGCTCTACTAGTACTCTAAAAAATGTTCTAGTTTGCTCACAACAGCTCACAAGTTTTTCTTGATGTAGGTGGGGATTGGTAAAGGACAAATCTATTTATGAAAAAATGGACAGATATATACGTTTAACTAGTATGGGAGTTTCCAAAGAAACACAGCTTCATGTTCTTCAGCTGCTCAAAGTAGTAGTTGGCGATAGAGGCGATGATATATTCAATTTTGGCTATGGAACTCTGAAGAAAAGATGGGAGATACTGAACAAGATCTTGTCCATATCCACGCGTTTCTCGCTCCAGGCTATCAACCCTGAGTACTGCAACTATTTCAAGAAAGTCAGAGAGTTTACTCCTTGTAAGTTTTTCTTCTAATGCAAGAAAGTGAGACTTTTGTTTTGGTTTGGTACTTTATAAAACTTATAATTATGTGTTTGGTTTTCATTTGAAAGCTTATGCATGGGTGAAGTGTGAGAGACCAGAAGATACAAACTGCTATGAGATTTTCAGAGCAGCGAAGATAACGGGACGCAATGGCAATGTGTTTGGATCAGAAGAAAGGTTTGTTCGATTGAGTCTCATCAGATCACAAGATGACTTTGATCAGCTTATTGATATGTTGAAGAAGTTAGTCTCCGAGGAAGCCGTAGGAGCTGACTCCATCTGAACAACTTGATGTATTTAGTATTTACTTAGGCCTCTTTAATTAAGCCTAGCGTTAGGCCCATTCTATAAAACCTCAGTTTCTATCAGAATCTATCATTTCGGTTCGGTTTAGCAGACCCATAAATCTCCATTCGTGAGAAAAGAAGGGCTATTTAGATTGGTATTCTAGTTTTTTGGTATCAATATTAAGTGATTGGGAAGTCTAGTTGAAATAAAAAAATTTGTAAACGTAGTAAATAAATGTTTGCGCAGGTTTTTGTTTTTTGTTTTTTTTCGTCTGAATCTTATCCATTATATTATACGAACGTGGAATACATAGTAGAATACGGTTTTGGTACACATAACCGGCAAGAGTCGAAATCTTTCCAAAAACTAAGCCAGCTGAAAACAGAATATCCCCGGTAACCTAAGAATGGGAAACAAAGCCTAAAACTACTAAACCAAGAACTCTAAAATCTAAAAATGCCAACAATACTCTCTAAACCTAAGATGATAATGCAACTAGCGAAACCTCCTATAGCGAATCAATAATATCTCCCAAAAAAAAGAACCTAAACAAGAAGGAATCCAAGACAAAGGGTCAAAACCCTTTTAGTGTGCTGTGGATTTGATGCATTGTTTGGTTAACTAGCGTGCTCGGCTTTTAGAATTGTCTTAGCATGGACCAAAAGGGAATTTACTTGTACAAAATGGATTTACACCTTGAGTGTTCCTTCTTTATAGTTAAAAGAAATTAGATGAGTAAGTTATGTTTATAAATGAACCTTGGGTAGTGAGCATGTTTAAGTCGCATGGTGGGATTGTTTGTATTGATAGCTCTTTTGGCTTGCTGAACAGAACTGGATTGGACGAGCACTGGCACTCAGACATACTGAACAAGACTGGTCTTGATTGAAGTGTATGTGTAGTTGTGTAAATGTAATCCGAAATCTTGATTGTTGGATGACCTATTTTGTTATCAAAAGTTCTAACTTTGATAATTAGGTCACTGAGCAGAATTTATATTTTCTTTTTCTGTATTAAAACTCTCTCTTATATATAAATGATTTTTGCAGTTTGTTTTCTCTCTTAAATATAGAAAAATAGAGAGTTGGAGAGCTAACCAGCGAGAAAGAGAGAAAAGTTGCAACTTCGGATTTTTGACATCTAATTAAAGACCAGACATAAATTTCATGCTGAGGGCAAGTCCGGCTCTATGCATGTGATAGAGGTGCTGATGCACATAGTCCATATAATTTTATCTTTTTTTTTTATAACTAAATTTATTAAAGTTAGGGTCCAAAATTTTTTATATAAAAAAGACATAAGAAAATAGGGTCAATTCTATTTTCCAGCTCAAGATCCTTAATTTTCTTGAGTCAACCCTGGTTGAGGGTAAACCAACAAACCATGTGTCCATTTTGTTTCTTGCTTTAAATTTGTATTATTAAAGGTAGATTTATCCAAATACAAGAAAAGTTGTGGGAAAAAACAGTTAATTAATTACAAACTACAAACAAGAAACTGGAAAAAGACCCCCAAGTGTTTCTTAAAAATGTAGGTATAAGAGGCTTAAAACCATTTGTTAGTAGAAGTAATAGCCATCATTATCCGTGACTTGCCGGTCAGTGGCTACACTTATGAAAAACATTTTAGAAGAAATAACCGGTGCTAAAAGAGATGTAACTCTTAGGTTCCATACAAACTTTCTCAACCAGTGTCTGAACAGTTTATAGGTCATAAACGCAAACAAACCTCCCAGCATCACGGTAGAGATAGAAAGAACAGTTGTGAAGAACCATCTTGTTCCTTCGATATGCGGTATGATTGTGGAAGCTGCAGCAACATAAGCGAGTGCCATGGATGCCACAGCTACCCAAAGCATCCTATGTGTTAGTTTTAAGAAGTTCATGAGTGGCCTCGTCCTGTAAGGTATAATGCTTACTAGAAGAATCACAATGCATAGGGATGTGAACAATGCGATGTTGTTGCTTATGGAAAAGATTTTGAAGGCTAACGTTGTCCCTGCAGTTGATTTACCTTTGTAAGGACCATCTTGATAGACACCGCCGGGGGGATTTATGCCACAAGTGAAGGCGACCGAGGCAATCAAAACTGCAACTATTGTTATCGTGTTTCTTGCGTTCTGTAATGCTTCTGCATGCATCTTACTTTCGCTGCTTGGAGGTGCTTCAAACATTTGCATCTTATATTCAGATGTATTCCCAATGTTATATTTTCCTTGTTGAGGACCAATAGGATTTCGAATTTGTTTTGCATCAAACCTAAGAGCCAGCCGGATATCTTATCATAATCTTCATCATCGACATTGATAAGATCAACCGCTTCCAGTCCTCGAGTGTTTTTGGCAGAGATATCTATTGTTGTATCATAAGTGATGCAGACTATCACCTACATTCAATTATGAAAATACTAATTATTATTAGAAAAAATATGAATGATATATCTGCTTTGGAATGATTAGAAAAATGTGGCTATGAGGTCCCATGTATCATTTACTCTGCTTTGAATGACAAGAATAAGAAGATCATATGGAACGGAGCAGACGAATCTTACCAAAAAAGTAGCAAGTGCCAAAATGCACTCTCGTTTTTGGTAAGTTTCGTCCACTCCGCTCAATATATTTAAAAAGCCTAAATGTCTTTTAAGCTTCGTAGTTTCCATATGGTAATTAAGAGAGCAAGAAAAAAACTCACGGGATAGCAGCTGGACATGACTGTTGGGGTCGGATTCCACCCTTTGGCGCCGAGCCAGACTTAGAACACTTCGGGAGTCTTTCAGTGATCACCTCGGGGCATAGCATCATTCACCTCGGGATATCCGTCTAATCGATTTAGTATACCCGAGCCCATCGCCTCGGGGATACTTTAACAAGACGTTTCAAGCACCCGAGCCCATCGCCTCGGGGATACCCTGAACAAGACGTTTCAAGCACCCGAGCCTCGGGGATACCCTGAACAAGACGTCTCAAGCACCCGAGCCCAATTGCCTCGGGGGTACCCGAGCCTGGTCACCTCGGGAGTTTCTGAGCCCATCGCCTCGGGGACACCCGAAGAAGCCATCCTAGAGTGCCCGAGCCAATCCTTCCTGTGTACCCGAGCCGATTGCACAAGTTTCTCCGAGGTGAAGTCTTCATCATCGCCCGAGGTAAAGACTTAGTAAATATTCGCTTTCAAAGTACCATTTCCAAGCAAGGTATCATTTCCGAACAAGAAGGATCATTTCCGATATACCCGGAAATGATAAGAGAGAATCTAGAAGGATCGATTCAAATCAGGAAATCTCCCAAAGACTCCGAAAAATAAGGAAACTATCCTAATCCGCGATATTCTGAGCCGACTTCAAGATAAATGGAAATCTTCCGAGAATATCGCTGGAGAGGCGGTTTATCACCTATATATAAAGAGACTCAAGGCTCAAGCAAAGGGCAAGCAATATCGCTCTAGAAATTATACTACGCAAAGCTCTCACAGCACAAACACCTTTTTCTTTTACGATCAAACTCTTGTACGATCAAAACTACTCTTTTCATCAATAAGATCAAGAACACCATCTTTGGTTACAATCGTTTCTGTTGTTCTTTGAGAATTCACAATTATCGTATCCCTAAAATAAAACCCTAGACAAATCTCGATTGTGTTAGTTTCGACTTCCACAGTTTGGCGCCGTCTGTGGGGATTACTTTAGAATTCTCTTACCCTAAGAACGCAAGACTCGAATACCAGAGAGGATGGTGAACGAAGACGATCGTCAGACACCACCAGCCGGAGGAGGGAACCCTAACCCTCCGAACCCTCCTTCTAGCGCCACTCAAGCCGATCCGACGATCATAGAAACTCTAGCCGAACTAAAAGATCTAATGGTTAAATTCCAGAAGAAAGCTGACGACCAAGAGAAAGCTAACAAAACCTTGGCGCAGCGAGTCGACGAAATCGCAACACGTGGGCAACAAAAAACCACACGTTTCCAGACTCGGCCGCCACGAGCTCGGAGGGACTTACCTGGCATCAACCCAACAAGACTCACGTTCGCGACACCAACCGGCAACACCAGAGTCGCAACCCGAGCCGACCCTGCCGGACGCGAGAACCAAGATGATCCCACCGAGCCAGACGCAGTGGATTTAACGGACGAGCCAGATGATCTGCAAGATGAGCGTACCCGAGCCGGAGCTAACTCCGCCGAGCGGACAGATCTCACTGACGATGAAGAAACTGAGGAAAACATAAGATGGGCCGAAGAATCTGAAAGAGAAGACGAGCTAAGCAAGATCCGAGCCTCCCTAGCCAAGGCGGAAGCTGATATGAAGCTCGTCAAAACCCAGATACATAGCGTTTCATCCTCCGCACCGAATATCGACCGAATTTTGGAAGAATCTCGGAATACGCCTTTCACCAAAAGAATTTCCGAAACGACGATGTCCAATCTGGGAAAGTTCAAAATCGACTCTTACAACGGATCAACCGATCCAAAGTGCCACATTAAATCGTTCGTGATATCTGTGGCCCGAGCCAGGTTCAAACCCGGGGAAAAGGATGCAGGACTGTGCCTACTGTTCGTGGAACACCTCAAAGGACCCGCATTAGAATGGTTTTCAAGATTGGAACGAAACTCGATTGATAGTTTCGACGAGCTGTCGAAATTGTTCCTCAAACAATACTCCGTGCTCATCGACCCCGGAACTTCCGACGCGGATCTGTGGTCTCTGTCTCAACAGCCCACCGAGCCATTAAGGGATTTCCTCAAGACCTTCAAATCGACGCTAGCCAAGGTCGAAGGAATTACAGATGTAGCAGCTCTCTCAGCTTTGAAGAAAGCTCTCTGGTACAAGTCAGAATTCAGGAAAGAGTTGAACCTGTCTAAACCAACAACAATTCGCGACGCGCTGCATCGAGCCTCGGATTTTGTCGCCCACGAAGAAGAAATGGCGCTACTAGCAAAGAGGCACGAGCCAACAAAACAGGCGCCCCGAGCCGAGAAAACCGAGAAAGCCCAAGCGACGCCTCCGGTCCAGAAAAAGACACGTGAGAGCAGTACGTATACGCATCACGAAGGGCGTAATTTCTCAGGATACAATAGCTACCAGATTTACACGCCCCGAGGCCGTGGCCGCGGCAGAGGCCGAGGCCGTGGGCGAGGAAGAGAGTCCTTCACCTGGACAAGGGATCAGCCACCAAGCAATGATCAAGAATATTACGAACACCACAAAATTTTCGGCCACCATACCTCGAGATGCCGAAGCCTCGGAGCCAAGTTAGCAA